GGGGGGGGGGGGGGGGGGGCGACACTTTGGCACTATTTACTCTCTATGTGCTCACTTTCATTCTCTCTAACTGATATGATTTTCACGTTTCGTTCCTCCGATTCTTCCCCGTTTGAGTAAGACTATAAATTGATATACATCTGGGTATATCCCGTCGATGAAAAAGGATTTCGAGGTTTTCGTGGAAGAACACGGCGAACGATCGGGCGTGCGTTTTGCGCGATATCGTGAGACAATATATATGTATATGTATATGTATACACGTATATGGCGAACGATCCGGTGCACGCGTGCAATGCGCGATGCACGGCCAAATAAATGCAGGTAGGACACGAGCAACATATACCGTAAGACATCTTTTCGTAAACGATGTATTCGTGTATTAATTAATTCCTAATGCCTTATCAGTTAACTATGTACAGGAGAGTCTATATATCAAGTCCTTAATTCATTATACACAGTACATAGACTTAGAGTAGCGGCTTTACGATAGGCGAACTCGTCCCGAGATACGCAGGGCTCGCGCGATCCCCTTTTCCTTCCTTTTCCTTCCTTTTCCTTCCTTTCCGTTAGTTTTTGGCATCGCGGCAAGGAGCCAGCCCTTCGGTTGGCTCGCGCTCATTCTTATTCTCCTCGTGACAGTCCTCCGTATTCGTCCTCGTAATCGTCGACCACATAGTGTCATATAACCATTAGTTACTTTAGTATTAGTAGATAGATATAGAGGGCTGGTCTGGTATGTGTCTGTCTAATGTTCGGTGTGCCTGCGTACGAAGGTCAGCTGTCGAGAGCGGCCTTGGCAATTTCTCTGGGTCCTGTGATTCTGCGAAATTTTCATTACTCCCTGATTCTCTCGCACCTTCTGCCTCTCTACGTATCTTTTCCAGCTAGACGTACGTTCGCGTATGTGCGGCCGAGGGCCTCTCAGTTCTTCTTTCTTATTTTCTTATCACCTTCTACATATCGAGCATGTTTCGCGGTCTCTTGTGAGAATTGGCTGAAGATGAAGATTTTTGGGGTTCGTGGACGGGGGGGTCGACATTTAATCCTTAAATTCTGATACGTATACGTATATATATGTATATGCATATATAATACTTTAATTTATTCATAGAGTTCGTACCATCCGCTCCTTCTATTCTTCTTATATACCCTCTTAAGCATAAAGTCGCGCGTGTACTTCTGTCATGTGTGAATCCTTTTGCGGCTACTGGCTGTTGCTTTGTCTCGATTTGGTTTATCTCTCCTACAAATTTTCCCTTGCTTTCGTCATTATCGATCCCTATCACTCCCACTCTCGCGTCAAAAAGCTCACCTCGTGCTTCATATACAAATTCTACCTCGGTTACTTCGTACGAATTAATACGAAACTACCTAATAATGTAATAACTAGACTATACAGATTAACGGGGTTGCGGTGGCCAGTCACGTCGCCGAAGTGTTGCGAAATTTTCGGATCTCGAGATTTCAAGACTTCGGGGAAGGACACGTGTCAACATGCCCACCTCCATCCTTAACATTGACTCCATTAACAGAAGGCCCGTAACAAGTGCCAGACTGATTCCAATCGAATGTATTAGCGTATTTTCATTTTAATAACTTCTACATTATCTACATCACGTATCTACCCATGTGCACCTTATCTCTTCTCGTGAATCCACTAAGCGTATCTAGACGCTCCGAAGTGTCGTGTATGTACATGGGTCTACGTACTTGCGAGTGTGCATACGTGTATATATATATATATATTTTTATGTACGAATCCTGGAGAGAGTGTCCTTTGGCATTTTGGCTACCGACTAGCAGCCGAGCAATGCCTTCCTTCTCCTCCACGAGATTGGCGTCTCATCAGAGGTTTCGGTCGCTACGGAACACTCTCTCCTGAGGACGCGACAATTACTCGCGACGTGTCTCGCACCGCGACGAAATGTACATTATAACAAGAAAACAAAATAAGAGAAAAGGCAAAAGAATATAAACATCGTTGTTCGCAATTGCTTGATTAAAGATATGGATTGATGGATCGAGGCGTATCCTAGCCAATTCAATTGGCTCGCCGCTTTCTCTCTCCTCGAAAAAGTCCCTCGTGTATTTAGTTTTCGTTTCGGAGCTTTCCTCGATAAGTTCCTTAGCAAAGATTCTTCCTTCCACTGCGCCCGGAAGCGCGCTTTCGATATGGTGAGAGTGTGAGAGGTCAGGCATCTTCCGGGGAGGACTTCTCAGGGCGACGGTGTCTAATAATTCTTTGGTGGCTGAGCTGGTGGGGTTCGTAATGTAGTATATATTATGGTAGTAGTCTTAGGGGTATGACGGGGATAAGATAGGGGAACTTTTGGATAGGGTAAGGGATCCGTATGTTTCGTCGTATCGTTTCTTCTTTTTTAGCGACGACGAATGGCTGTAATAGAGCCGAGAAGATGAGAACCTAGTTAACAGCTGGAACGCCGCTACTACGCCTCGATCTGATCATCCGGCGTCATGATGTCGGGTGCCATCGAGAGGTCCTCGGCCATATCTTCCTCCTGACCGGAATCATGCCCGTGACTCTCCGGGTAATCCCTCTCGTCAACCTGGTCCTCCTCCTGCTCCTGTTCCGTTGGTGCATCCAGGAGTTCACGCTTTATTAGTCTGGACAGCTTGCCTCCCTCGGGACTCTGACCCTCTTGCTTTATATGCACCGCCGGTTCATCCAAAGGTGACCTGAGAGCACAAGCAAATTTTTGTCTTTCTCTTGGTTTTCCAATTTGATATGGCTGCCAGGTTTGCTTTACTTACATCAGATCGCTGTGGGCCATCACGTGCTCCTTGTCAGGACTTGTCGCTGTCGACGTGCACATCGAGTTGTTCAGGAAGCCCATGTTCGACTCACCGAGCGCAGCCTGGAAATACTCAAATTGCATTAGGCTATTAGTCACTTCCGAATTTCGCACGTTCTAATCCTGTGAACTGCCAATTGTGCGTGACAAGATACACAAGATTGTACACTCCAATTATATTTATCAAATAGGATGGCAAAGCAACTCGAGTCGATACACTCAACCGCAATATGTTCAAAAGGAGGAGCGAAATATCTGACCTGCGTGCTTTTGCCATCCCAGCACTTGTAGCAGGTATCGTTCCCTGGGCTCGATACACGCTAATTGTGTCGAAGCAAAGATAGTTACCTGGAGGTTGCTGTTCAGTGCATCCCCATACATCGTTGGACTGTGGGTTAGCGTGGGGCTCTTGGACGGGACACCCCTAGTAAATCGATACGGATAAAGATTAATCAATTTGAATATTAATAACATTCACTTTCGTGATTTTCCTGAAAAAAAAACATTTTAATAATTCTCGAATGCGAATTGATGGATCAAGATGGGGCGTAAAAGAGGCAGAAGAACAGCGAAGAGTGACGAGTGAAGAGTGAAAGGTAACGTGAACTGGAAAGGTGAAAAACAGACTGACGGGTGAGGAGCTGAATGAAGAGTTCAACGAGGAATCCGTGTTCTCGCTCTTAATGTATACAGTGATCGGGCTTTCTTGAGGAGTGGTTGGGGTTCACGTGGAATACAGTATGTTAGTATAAATAGATATTATGAATATATGTATATTAGAAGGACATATAGGTATATACATATAAAAAAGAGAAATAGAAATTGAAGACAATAGGGAATAGAGAATAGAGAATAGATTATTTAACAATACATATATATATATAAATATTAAAAAGGTATATAAAAAAGAAGGAAAAAGAGTTTTCAAAAAGTCTTACGTACCGAGTGACTCGCGAGTACTCAACTTCTGTGATTGGCAGCGATTGAGCGAGTTTAAGTAAAAAAGAAAATTATTAAAAGTTTTCGAAAAAAACGCTGCTGTTTCCGCAAGATCGAAACAGCACAGTTACTTATAAATGGCCACGGGTTACCAGTGTGCGTACGCTGAGCCTGACGTCCGTTTAGTGCATCAGTGCTTCCTGCACTTCCCAGGTGGTACGCCCGATTTGTGTACTGAGATCTGACTGTTTGTAAGCAGCTGATAAGTTTCAAACGAAAATTCGTCAACTGTTACATTTGCGTCTCGTTGGCGACAGTTGACTGTAATAATGTTGTGCAAGGCGAGGCCTGAATGGCCAATGTCAATGCCATTTCGGACAGAAAACTCTTTAAGATTCTCTTTGTATTATCAAATGGAAAACTGCGAATGACGCAATCACCAACGAGACAATTCCAACTAGTACTACCAATATGAATAAAATAGATGAAAGATCCCTATGGCCATTCATGGAGTAATCTTAAGCGTAAGAAATAGGAAAATACTAGAGATACATAGGAGGAGAGAAAGAGTGAAGACAGTTAGGCCAATTGACTTGGATGAAGATAGAAGTGTAGAGTGAAACAATCAATAAGTACATAGAGATTATTAAAGAGAATTAAAATTTGTAGCATCTAGTACTCTACATACATGTGTGTAATAATATATAGAGAAAAGTAGAGTATCTCGTGATACCTTGAGGAGCGACGACGCAGCAGAGTCTTCAGATGAAATTACCGACGTTTCGCATTTCGCTTCTGACCACACATATCGATGAATATACGCATGCGCAATTAGCTCTGCCACGCTTGTTATACCAATCACTCTGCATACACACACATCCGCGCAATCGTTAAACGTCAAAATTCTTTTGCAGAGACTGAATTGTGATTAAAGAAAAAGAAAAAAAAAAGACATCGAGGACGAGTAAGAGTAACTAAAGGAAACGAGAAATCAAGTGGCAAATATGGCAGGAGAACGAAGACGTGAATGAAGATAAAATGAAGGGTCAGTTCGCGAGTCAGCCAGGCACACGCACGCACACGCACGCACACGCACGCACACCAAACTAGAGAAACGCACGACAAAAGCACCGTAGAAGCGGAGCGTGTCGAAAGGGTTTCAGAGGTGTCGACTACTGTTGCTTTTCTCAGGGTCCAGAGAAGCTCGGGATCTCGTGTTTACTTGTCCATGCGATCGTAGCTAATAGTCAACTAGAGGATGAGAGAGCTACAGCCTTGGATAGTGCGGCAATCGCAGAGGTAGGTAGAAGCACGTAAGGATCGGATAACAATAATCACAGCCGGGATCGAGAGTACGCTAGAGACCGGTTTGGCTCCAGTTACGATCAGGATGACTCTTGATGGACCTTTACTGGGATTTGTGCTACGGAGTCTCTTACGCTGCGCAAGCTGACTACGTTTGCTTGGATTCTACTACTGCGAGAAGTCTCAGGCCCACGGGCTTTTCTATGGAGATTCGTTTTTTGACAGGCACGATGCAGGATTTATATTTTCTCTTTCTTATTTTTTGGTTTTTCTCTCAGGAACGGGTAATCAGCATCGAGAGGCTTCCTGCTGCCTTGATTCGCTACGTTATGTACTACTACCTCCTGTCCTCACGGCTTCATCTGGGCGAGGAAGCAGAAATGAAAGCGGACAGAACGGCACAGGGAGAGGAAGAAGATGAAGAAGAAGAGAAGAGTGGACGGCGTGGACAGGAAGAGCCGCCAGGACGGGTAGCTATACAGTCATCGATATCTGCGAGGAATCGAAAGACAGAGACAGAATAAGCATCAAGTAAGAAAGACTTTGGACAGAAAGGCAGCAGGTTCGCCAACTCACAGGTGATGTAGACAACGACCAAGCGTTCAGTCCTGTTCACCGAAGAGTCTCGGCGAGCATAGGAACGTCGCGTCAGCCAGCAGCAGAATTCTAAAAAGTGGTAGTGCTTACTGTGCGGAGAGGTGGGGTGGAGTGGGTGATGGGGTTGGGTCATATTTCCTGGGGCGGCCGCGGGATAGATGCCGCCGCTTTACAAACTCGGCGTCGTCCACCATCCAGAATGACCCGAAGTCGTCCTCATAGCGCACAAAACACTTGTGCAATGATAGATTGGTGCGGATCGCGTTCTGTATACACAGACAAGACCACCAAGAAATAGAGAAAAAGAGAGTAAAAGACACAAGATACGGTGTATAGCTTTCTATCATTCGTTCACTCGATCACTCGCTTCCCCTTCCGATTTCCGGAAGCCGATCGTATCCTCCTTTCCCGTCTTTCACGTCCTCGCGCTCTCGAGTCAGAGGGAGGACGTCACAAGCTCGGGATGGCTGGAAGCGTCGATGTCACCGATGTCGTCGTCGTCGTCGTCGTCGTCGTTTCTTATTGAGGTAGTTGATTATTAATATAAAGATATAGAGAGAAAAAACACTAGAGAAAGATTTGTAAAGGATTCGGACATGAGATCGACGAGAACCTCCCAGAGGATTCGTCCTAGATCGCTCCAAGTTCCTGAATCCTCATCCTCTACACTCTACAAGGCGTGCAAAAGACAGGCTAGATCAGAGCAGAACGATACAGCTGGCTCTGCTCAACTGGATCAACTGGCGCAACTGGCACAACTGGCACAACTGGCACAACGCAGCCCCCCGCTACCCTCACACATTATTCCCTTCCGCATTCCATTTCCTTTCTCATATCCCTTTTCCCCTCTTTCTTGCACTTCGTCCCTGCCCTTCCGGTTTCACCCAATTCTCGTATTTTTTCGTTGGCATCCGGGCCCGGAATCTTGGACGTCATTAGTCGCTGCAAAGCCCATCATGCTTGTTAGGCACACGCCAGGCTCACACCCAGGCGCACGCACACGCACACGCACTCGCATACACGCACAAGTCGATACGCACGCGCACCTCCGTTTTTTTTTTGCAAACCACGTAAAATTTACAGGCACTCGCTGCCACGCATGTCATTCGAATGAGCTACGTGGAGGTACAACTGAGGACACAATCAAGAATTACAGTGCGAAAAAATCAAAGTGTGAGAGATCGGTCGACGATTTCATTGCGATTTCATTGTGATTTCATTGTGACGTCGGCGACCGACTCACGTCAGACTCACGGACAGACACACAGAGCGAACGTACGAACAAAACACAGATTAAAATAGAGACACAAACGAACAAACATGAAACAAGCGACGATCAGTAGAAACAAGTTACACTGTAGGCTATTTATGTATATAAAAGTAGTGTAACAATGCGGCAAATAGACACATAGAAGTAGAGATATATGTATATAAGTACAGGTATAAAAAGAGAGAAGTCAAAAGTACACGAGAGAAATATGATAAAAATACAGTAAACGTTAGAGATGCCAGAATGTATGCACACACGCTGTTATAATATACCGACCGAATGATATGCTTATCTAAATAATGGGAGACAAATATATTTATATATAGAGAGAAAAATAGAAAAATACGTATGTAAACACATGTAGATATATAAAAACACGTAAAGAGAGGTATATTAATGTATCTATGTAAAAAGTGGCAGTACGAAAGGGTAGCAGTATTGCATAAGTAGATAAAAAGAGTAAATTGAAATAAGTGTGTAAGAGATAAATAGAGAGAAAGCAAAACAAAAGGGGAAAGAGAGACACAGAAAAGAGAAAAAGAGTGAAGAAAAGCGAGTGTCGGATGAAAGAAGAATGGAGGAATTTGAATATGAGGAACTATAGGGATAGTCGTCAGAGAAACTGAGGGATGTAGAAGCATCGCGAAGACGAGAATGGAACATTTAAAGTGAGACCTTGAGAGAATGCGAGAAAAAAGAGAGACGTAGGTATATAAACAGGTGGAAAAATGGATAGTGAGTAAGTAAGAAAGAAATAAGAAAAAAGAAAGAAAGACGCGTGTCGGGGGAAACGTACCCAGTCGTGCTGCAAGCGCGTTGAGGACGTCTCTTGTAAAACTCCACTTCGTCCACCGTCCAAACGGCCCCTTTCACGTTTTCGACTCGCATGAAACATTTGTGGAGAGACAGGTTGTGTCGCACTGCGTTCTATACAAAATAATACACAGACTAAATAAGCAACCCAAAAACTAACGAACGAAGCCAACTGAATTCGCGACTCGTGGATTCGGACGCGACGATCAATTGTCTCTGGATCAGGTCCGTCTGTGCTGTCTGTGCTGTCTGTGCTGTCTGTGCTGTCTGTGCTGTCTCTGCTGTCTGTGCTGTCTGTGAGTCGTAAGTCGTCGGTCATTTCGTTTTCCGCAGTCATGGTGATAGGGAGGGGTCAACACATTCCAGGCAATTCATTTCAAATGAAGCTCGATACTGAGAGAGCTTCTCCAAATATCTCGAGAAAGGACACGAAAGGACACGTTAGCAAGAAAGTCCCTTGATTGAGGTAGGCGATCGAATGGCGCCGACAAAAGGAGAGGAGCTCCTCCCATCTGTCATTTGGTAGAAAGCGTTATCAAGAGTACTTAAGGTGTTAATGGGAGGGATATTAATTAGAGGCTTTAAGGGTGTCGAGATGGTATTGAACGTCCTGATAATTGATAACGCGGATAGCAGCTTCGTCCTCGATGAATCGGTCAGTCGTTCGTATCTGTTCTGTAGATCGTCGCGAGGATTGTTTTAATAAATAACTAAGAGCTAGATGGCTAGACGCTAAGAACTAAGAATAATTAATAACAACGATCAATTAAAAGATGGAGAAGGATCGTGAGCCAATGGGATTGTGAGGCTTAGTAGTGATTTTAGGTAGGTAGGTAGGTAGGTAGGCTGATGGTTGTCGAGGAAATTTCAACAAAAGAAAGTAAGTTTGAAATGATAAAGGAAAACTCAGGACGACGATTAATTGAGATAGAAGACGGTATATGTGGCATTCCTGGTATCGTTAATGCACACAGCTAGGTATCTAGTTCTAGGGGCAACGACAACGAATCATGCCGCAGAATCGATTATCAGAGCTTGATCGGTTCTTGACCAGCTCCCAATCGCTCCTTCTCTAACTGCGTTGATCAAGAGCAGAGACATTCAGCTGCGATCCGTAGAGATCGACTGCGATCAGCTGGATCGGACGACTCTTCGACACTTCTAGTCTCCCAGCAGCGGCCGAACGACAGCGTCCCGTCATGGCCGTTCCACCCACCTGTATGTATTTACGTTTTCGTCGAACACAGAGAACCATGCGAGGCGAAGCTTGTTTTTCTGGCAAACGTCGAGACTTACGCACACGCACTCGCACACACGCTCTCTCAGCACATTTGATGAAGATTACACCGCCAACGGGATATCCACTTCCGGTCCACTTATCGGCTCTCTCAACGGCGAACCGGAAGGGAACCACGGAGGCCCTAGATTCATGGATTATACATCTCAGAGATTATGGATTATAGACTATAGTGCCATCCCACCCTTTCCCAATATATCCTATACTCCAGGTAACGATGCTGCTCGGATCCTGGATCAGTCTGTAGATTGAAATAAGAATACAGCGCGCATAGAATCTTTTACATCTGCCCTACTTTTCCAGAGCATATATTGGATGCTTGCGCTTTAACCTGCGTTTGCTTGCGTCCTGTCAGCCTTAGGATCTAGTATGGATTAGGACATTGGGGGGTATACCTTCCACGTGGCTGCGTTACGTCTGAAGTAGCAGAATGTATTCTGGAACCAGTTGTAGATTTCGTTCAACGTCAGTTGCTTATCCGGCGACTCGATTATCGACTGAAACACACACAAAATTTTTTATTCGGCTGTATTCAAGGGTCTCTGTTGACCGTATGAAGATTTTCTAGCCACCTGTCGAATTAATGAAGCGTATGTGAAGGGTGGCCGCACATCAGCATTCTTGTAAAATTCCCGATTCCGTTGTATCTCTGTAAGAAGACGTAATCGTTAATCAAACATCACGGCAATACCGAAAATTTCACGTGCGTATATGTTTGATTATATGTATTGCATGTGTATGCTATACTATAATGTTACTCTTACTACAAGGAGACCTAGATATAGGAATATTCATTCTTTACACGTAAACACATGACAAACAAGTATAAATTCTATCGAAGAAGAATCGTCACAATACGCTCACAACTCCCGAAGTCACCCATGAGAAACTTTTCAGTGTTTCAGTGATTTTCTCGGCTAAATCCATACTGTCTCCACTGTGCCTCAATTTGTTCAACATTTTGCGGTCTCGCGTAATTCGGGAATTGTAGTGTCGTGTCTCGATAGAAAACAAAGGGCAAATGTAATTCTCCTTCTCGAAGGAAAAATTAAAAACTACTAGAATGACACGGTGGCGTTTGGAAAGCTTGAAAAGTCGAAAAGAAAAATAGTTGACAGTTCAGAGTTGAGAGTTGACAGTACCTTGTTGGACGTCAAGACCAGCACGCTCCAGCATGTAGGGCAGCCCTACACGGTGGGGTGGGCGGGCAGCACAAGAGATTAAGAAATAACAGAATGATAAGATTTAACATTTCAATATGTACATCCTGTTCGAGAGAGAGAGAGAGAGAGAGAGAGAGAGAGAGAGAGAGAGAGAGAGAGATAGAAGCTGTTCTTCGAAGAAGATACAGGAACGCTGGACAATTTTTTATAATCGTCCGTTTTCTTTAAGATTAACTCGAACAGTCAGTTTCCTCGTTCTTCCATTGACACTTGCTACGTTATTCACATTTTCTTTCCATTTCCCCATACTTTCGTACTTCGCTTAATTAATCTGAACCCCTTTTAGAAACTTCCCCAAGATGTCGATTTACACAAAATTACATTAGATCACACTATCAGTTATGTGTTATACTATACTAAAATAGAAAGACATCTATGTACGTACGTACAATGTACAAGAAATAGAAGTAGTAAAGCAGAAGTCGAGAGTACAACGTGCGTAGAGCTCGCAAGAGGAAAAACACAAGCGATAAGATGACGATTGTCCGCTTGACAATTATGATTGCGTGGAGTCGCAAACGGTAAAAAGTAACTTTTGAGATAAATAACAGAACTACAGAGCAACATGTTTTAACGCACAAGCGGCATTTCGCGACGCACGCGTCCAATCGCTCGCTGTACTTCCTCCAATGATCCTTAATTTTTGTTATCCTGATCATCCTCCTCCCCTCCCCCCTTCTACTATAGATCGTCTCGATTCTCAATCGGAACGCAAAGAGTCTTACCTCCAGCCAGAGAGAGTGCCGATTTATCGCTGATTCGCCTTCTTATGGGTCCAGCCATACTGGGCATACTTGGCATATTCGGCATACTCGGCATACTCGGCATACTCGGCATACTCGGCATGCTGCCGGGCATGTTTGGCATCGGTGGTATGCCTGACATGTTCGAGAGGTTCGGTATCGGCGGCATCGGGGCACCACCCGCTGATGGCGGAAGTTGTCCTCCCGCCGGTGACCTCACGGCAGAAACGAGGGCCGACATCGAGACTGGCGAGACCTGGGAAACGCCAAAGTTCGATGGTGGTTGACTCATCAAGGCCGAGGAGAGATTCAGCTTCGGTAAACTCGATCCCGTCTGAAGAATAAACAACCGTGAAATAAGGAACCATCGAGAATTGCTGCCGTCCTTCCTGCAATTCTCCCTCGAAACGTCTACTTTAGGGGAGAGCTGCGCATATTTGTTTCGAACTGACCGAGGATTCCGAGGATTTTGGCGGTTCGGGCGAGGCCATCTGCTTGGCCACGTGAAGATGGTGCATCATTGCAGTCAGCCGGTCGCGTTCTTTCTGCAACTGTATTTCCAACTGCGAGACAACCTGCATCTGCACTCTAGCCTGTGCTGTCGATCTGTCGTCCAGGGTGTGTTCGGTGTTGAGGTGCCTGAAACGTTAAATGAATAAACATAAATATACGGGGAGAGCGTAGTAAGAAGGCGAAGAGAGTGCCGGGAAAAGAATATTCGAGCTGGTTAAGAATTCCCGTAATCCTTCTCCCTCGACTGTTGCGAAGGGCGTACTACTGCCAGATCAGTGTTGGTATCATTGGTATTGCTGGTGATTGTGATTGGTGGTAGGATAACGTCGGTGGTGGTGGTGGTGGTGGTGGTGGTGGTGGTGGTCGCGACATCGGTGAATCGGTGAATACGACGAAGACGCGAGGTCGAGGGTTGTTCGAGAGGATGGAGAAGAAAGGGGCTTGGGATTAGACCGAGAGGCATAACGACGCGGCCGAATGTCCTGAATATTAATGAGACAAAGGTAATTAGCGTTTTTTTTTAAGTAACGGCTTGTTTGAGGGAGTTTGCGGCGACGGGCTACGTGATTGTCGGGGGTGGCGGATAGGGGTGCCTCGAGAAAATCGTACTACCCCCAAGGCGGCCGAGCTGACGCGACCAATTTTTTTCCTCCAGCCTCGCCCCTCCTTCCTTTCCCTCTTCTTTCTTCTTCTTCGTCTTCTCTTTCCTCTCTTTTCCCGCTCCATCTTTTATTTTTGTCTCCTTTCTCTCCCGCCATGAACCCGCAGTGAACCCGCAGGGACTCCCGAACTCGTCATCGTGTAAAAAACATTGATACTCACTTGAGGAATGCTTGATAGTCATCGCAAATAACTTCACAGCCGGGCCACTTGCAAACTCCGTGACCGTAGAGCGGATGAGCCTTATCGTTGCAGGAGACATCCAGTGGTTTCTCATCCAAGCCGGAGCCGCCATTCATTTCCGTCCGTCGGCCGGAAACTATCGAATTTAAAATACCTGACATTGAAAGTCGCAGAATTACCAGAAGAAGCAACTTTAATACATATATGGCTCACCTGTATGACAATGGGAACCTTACCGTTCAATCCCGTCGAGGATTTCAGCGCGTTCGAATTCTGGTGCGTCTCCGGACCGTCCGAGGCGTCCGTCGTCTTCCATGCCGGCAGAGAGTCCCCTGGCTGGAGGCCTAATCGGAAGAGCGGAACAATTCAAATCACGTTCAATCAGCGTATGTGGCTTTATCGATGTGACTCGAGGCGAGGTTCGAGCAACGACGGTCACGTGTGAAGCAAACATGCGTGGAAGAGACCCGAAGTAGGTTCATGTTGACGAGGAGGCGTATCGGGATTTTCTGGTCCGGATATTCGAGGATCCAGATAGCGGATCCGAGGGGTCTCTATGGGATCTAGTGGATTTATCTAATTGGGTCTAGTGAACCGAGTTGGTCGTAGGTAGAAAGAAGAAAATATAAAGACCAAGTACATGAGAGAGAACGTGGAAGGGATGGGCAAGTTTGTTTCACACGTGAATTTCCAATTCGAAGCACCAACGTGCGCCAACCTTACCCTTCCCTCACGCAACGAAAAACTCACGGAGACCCGTTTCTACGTGGAAAGTATTGCCCAGGGTGATAAGTGCAGGAGAATGGAGTGAATAATAGCTAATTCAGAGACGGATAATGTTACTGCTGATAATGGGGCATAGCCCGAGGAATATTGGGGTGCTTTTTGTTTCTCTGGGCTTGGCAGAGATTTCTCGGTAAGGGCGAGTGCGAGAGAGGAAGGGTTGGGGGGGGGAGGGACGACGGGAGGGGGTCTGGGTTTTCTAATCGAGAGGACGCCTCCAACATCAACTTACCTCCAGGGTCGCCTCGACACGCACGCCCCGATAAACGATCATTCCTCCTTTGAGCGAATACCTGAGGAGTGATTGTGACCCTGGAGACCCAAGCCTTGCTGAAGTAGATACTGCCTCTGGGTGATCTGAAGCTGCTGTATCAATTGCTGTTGCTGGAGCGCAAGTTGCTGGAGCGGCGCCGAGGCTTTCTTCTTGTCGGCTGTCTGCAGTAGATGCGTCTGTTGGATCAGGTTGAGCTGCAGCTGTTCCTGCAGCTGCTGCATGGCCTGCTCGAGCTGCTTGCGGCCGAGTTCAGCCAGTTGATGTTGGTGCTAAAGGTAATAGAGGAAACGTGCTCGGAACCAAGATAAAAGAGTGCAGCTCTGGTAAATCGATTCGATGAGAAAATAGCCTCAGTGCATTCTTCGTGCTGATAAATAAATCCAGAAGGGGTGGGAGTGCCGAGAGGGAGGAACGAAGGATGGGCAAGATGGAGGGAGAAAGCGAGGAGAACCGCGAGGGGGTTGAAAACTCGCCCGAAGACAAACAGCGAGACACAACGGGCTGATGGCGACAGTTAATTGCCCCGTACACCCCAGTCCATCCCAGAAACTCACCCCCAAGTTATCCACTGGCGAATATAACGCAGGGCGCCTTTCCATCGCCGAGTGAAACACCCTCGGGGAATGTTTTAAAGCAAACTGTCGGGAAAGGCGCCGTTTATCATATTACCATAAACAAAAACTGAACAATTAATGGCCCCAACCAATTAACGGGGATGCTAGTTCGACTTGGCCAAATGGGACGTCGCGACTGTCTCTCTCGCTTTCCTTTGCCTTCACTTCGTTCCTCCTTTCTTCGATCCCTTGTTTTCGAACACTATCGATCTCATTTTTAATTATTTCACGGGGCCCACGCTCCTCCTTCCTCGTCTTCCATTTCCACCCCACAGACTTTCACGCTCTCCCTCCGGTCAGGCCCGCAGCTCCTTTACTCTTGGCGCTAACCCGAAATATACGATACTTCCATTCTACCACCCTTCGCAGGGTCACCCTCCTCAGACCCGTTTCTGATCCTCCTCTCACAGTCTCACCCTTAGACCCAGTCACGCTGAGATAACATCCGCCCATATTACCAATCGTTTCTCAGTTCGTTCTGTGACCAGCCCCGATTCGCGGTCTTCGCTCTGCACTTTCTGCCTCCTCGTGTCGAAGATTCCTCCGTGAGCCTCGATTCAATCAAAAGGGCTTACTGCCCGAAGAACGAACCAGCAGAAAGTGTACTACGATCAAAATAATCCCAATACATGGACACAAGCGAAATATCTGACTGAGAGAGAGGTCAGTGCTCTGAATAGATATGAGTCCGCCGGGAAGAGCGTACTAACCAACGTACGTCGATTCCGGTTAAAAGAGAATAGAGAATAGAAGGCACCAACATGCAGAACGTAATGCGCCAAGACGAGGGAGGCTAGGGGGAGAGAGAGAGAGAGGGTAAAGCTTTGGCGATGTTGTTGGCTGTTTAGAAGAGGGAATATCTCCGTTTACGTTGTTATCCTGACTAAGCAACACCGTTAGAAGGAGGGCAGTCGAACGGAGCTGCGTCATTCATCGGAAGCCTTCGGTAGATTGGTCTTCCGGTGGACTGGTAGACCGAATGCAGACGGCAGGGGGCGCGGAGAGGCTCACACAGGGAAGGTATCGGTCCCGGGCGGGTACTCGAGTATTATCTTTACTTAGAGCTTGCTATTTTTGCAAGCGCTCCCGACCTTCCTTTGACGTTAGAGTGTTTTTGGGAAGCTCGCTCCCGAGCGGCAGTCGCTTGATACGCGAATATTGTTATCATAACAATACAGAAGGGACTGGTTGTTTATTCAGGCCGGGCACCAACCCTCTCGGCAGAGCTCAATGCTCAGGGATGCTACTGCTGCCCTAGTCGGACTCTCTTTCCCTTCACTCGCATTCGCATCACCCTCCTATCCTGATCCCGCAGCGCGAGCGTCACCCCTTGCAAGCCGCCCTTATGGGCTGGTTTTCAGATTATTGCCGCCGCAGACTCCTCGGCTGTATGCGATTTCTCTCTTGTTATCTAGTGCTGTCTCAGCCTGCTGCTGTTCTATCGATCTCGATAGAAATAATATGTATAACTTAGTAGGCAATCAGCCCCTTTGCCAAGGAGGCGTGGGAACCTTCAGAAATTGAGTAACACTCCGCAGTTTCTCCTGGCCCTCTCACTCGCACTCCCATCCGTCCGAACATTCGTTCATCCATCGATACTGTCCGTTATGATTTTTTCATTAAAATAACAATTAGCGCGTGTCTTAAATCGCGCGCTTTAATTAATTTTACCCTCAGAGAAAAGGGAGCCCTTTACCCTTTGGAACGAGACCTTAAGTCCCGGTTCCTTAAGAAGTACCTTACTGCTGATTTTGTACCATGTTCTTAATGTGCCTCGATATTTTTTAACGATTTTTCATTAATTCTGATGTTATACTCGTGAAATTAATAAATGGTATGCTCCATTCAGTAGAGTCACAGAGTTAGGCGGTTGTTTAGATGGACAAATATGGGCTTAGTAGATCAAAGTAAAAACTCACGTTTTTCAGAGATGAAAAATAACCGAATCGTTCCTGGTTAGCCGCATGTTCCGAGGAGTCCTGAAAAACCGTAGAAAAATTCCACATTGGCATTAACAATAATGCATTTGGAAATAGTACAGCACGCGAAGAATGGCAAAATAAGGACATTGTCAATCTCGTGGTGCGCGAGGCACCCGGATAACAATTACCTGGTGATGCTGCTGCTGCTGCTGCTGTTGCAGGTACAACGTGTGTTGCTGCATGAACGACTGCAGCTGACTTGGACTGAGAATGTGCTGCTGTAGAAGTTGCTGCATCTGATGCAAGCCACTCGCCGGGCTGAGCATCATCTGCGACGCTGTCTGCGAGGGTGGACCACCCCCTGGGGGGCCTCCTGGGGGCGGGCCCTGCGTAGGATTCGGCGGTGAGCCCCTTTGGGGTGCCTGAGGACTCTGATGAGGACTTGGTTGGGGCCCGGGGGCCCCGGAACTCGGCTGCTGGGACTGTTGCGTGATGAATGGCTGCTTTTGCTGGGTCATCGGTGCAGATGTCAGTGAGTGCCCAGTAGGACTGAGCTTCCCATTGCCTTGGTACTCGATGGTGAGCTCTTGTTGCTGCTCCCCGTCGGCTCCACTGGCTGTGCTGTTGCTGCTGACCCTCTCGCGCCCACGCGTTATTACTCTTTCTCTGTTGTGGGACGAGTCCCTTGACTGAAGATGCTGTTGCTGCTGTTGCTGCTGCTGCTGCTGCTGCTGCTTCAACGCTGCGAAAAGCGTGCTGACCTGAAACGTACAAGACAAGGGCACTGCTCAATATTCGTATATCGTGCGAATTCTACAGGAGGCATATCGCTTTCATCATTCGGCAGACAGTTCATGGTGCATTAGATTCCGTTTGGGTACCGCAGCGAGATATCTTGACGGTATCCCCGATAGCAACAGCTAGACTGAGGGTCCCGCGCCGCTCGAGGCTCAGACGCCACTGTTTACATGGAGGGATTTGTTTTATTAAGCTCTATCATCAAGTAGATTGTAGATTGTAGAATGAAGAATGTAGAATGTACAAACAAAAGTAAAGAATTTCCCTGGACGCACCTCGTCCTACGAGATTCGGTAAGGCGGCATTTTACCACAACCCCCAATGAGTCTTTCAAAGGGCACATAACCTCCCACTGCCGATATATTCCGCCTTACCTAGCAATAGTAGGTGGGGATTGTTCTTAACCAGGGAGCGGCCATGTTCAATCAAAAGAGAACGAAGTGAAAGGAAAGAAAATGCAATGAGAGGGAAGCAATCGAAGGAAAGAAATATGAGAATAGAGCGCAAACGGAGCGATCAGAGTCTTATACGTCGCGAGAACTCAAAGCTTCGAGAGAAAGAGAGTTCTATGCTAATCTTATTTGTGTACGATTACGTATGTTTATAACATGCAAAGAAACTCCGTGCGAGCGTTATCAGTGTTTAGTCAGGAGCGGCAGCGCGTGGCGTTATTCGCCGGTGGGCTTCTCGTCAAGAAATAAAGGAAGAAAAGGAAGACCAGAAAAAACAAGAGACCATTTTGTCAGAGTAAAAAATACGTGGACGGGCGGAAAGGTGGAAGGTGGAAAAAGAACAGAAAGAACGTGAATAGTTACACCGCAAGCCATGAGCCGCAGCAATCAGCTCAGTTTTTTTTTTTTTTTTCTTTTCCTTAAGGATCGCCACAGCGTCGAATCCTTTAATTCGTTAATTAACGCGATGATTGGTAGTGCTTGACTCTTTCGGAGGAACGTCGAGCTCTCGTGTGTACACGGTGGTCGGAGAAAAAAAGGAGCAAAATACGGAAAAGGGAAGACAACGTTAAGCTCTCTCTGTGCCGCTTGCCTTCGGTGCGGCCGAGTATCGGATGAGAGGGAAGGAAAGACCGTAAAAAGTACAAAGGTAGAAGAACAGGGAAGTAGGCTCCGCACGAAGGAAAGGATGGGGCGAGGCTGGTGGGACGGATGAGCGGTGAAGGACCATCGGCTGTAGATGAGAGAGAGAGACTCCTAAGACTCCCTCAAGAAAAGGTTAAATAATGGTCGGAGAGTGCGGCGCTGTTGGCTGTTCAGATTTCTTCGGGACCTCAGATCTTCTTGCATTTCGACTCGCCTCGTGTTGGAGGCAAAACCCCGCGCGCGCGTCTCCTTCACTCCCACTGCCCAAACCATCACTATATTACGGCTCTTTATAACTGCTGCTGTTGCTCCTCCGTCGCCATCTTCTTCTTCTTCTTCTTCTTCTTCTTCTTTTTCTTCTTCTTCTCATGTTAGTCAGCCTCTCATCCTTCGACACTCTTATTTGAATCCTGAAGTCGCGCTCCGCCGGGGGAAACCTTCATATCTTTTATATATTAGAATTCTCGTTCCTTCCTACCCTCTCTTTCTCGAATACCCGAGCAATGTTTACTGTTTGGATTTATTCCCACCCTCCATATATATGTATAACCCAGGTCCCCGTAAAGACGCTCTCCATTCAGTTTCTTTCCGGTACTGCGTCTCCTCGCGTTGACTGGCTCTTCTTTCTTCAAAACTTCGAAACAGCCAAGAAAATATCATTCTTCTCCAACGTCAGAGAGATGGAGAGAGGCAGAGAGAGAGAGAGAGAGAGAGAGAGAGTCTCGTTGCCCTACTGTCGGATTCTGGTTCGTTAAGTTCGCAGCTGACATTCATTCGTATCGTCAAGATTTGCGCGGGCAAAGTCTAAACTGCATTGGCGACACCCAGAGTCCACCTCGTCAGTTGGGCGAAGCGCTAACTCTCGGAAGAGCCAAACTCAGCAGCCTCGAGAATAATGAGCATTTGTGCCAAAGTCCATCGACATGATGTTGGCTCGTGTTCTCGCCCTGTGACACTTGTACGTGGGTACGTGGGACTTCTCATCGGGGCCTCCTGCTGTCGTCCATTCATTTATCCGTTGGCAGCGTCGTTCGTTCGTTCGTTCGTTCGTTCGTTCGTTCGTTCGTTTATTCGTCGGTTCGTCTGCAGCTCGTTTGGTATTCACGTAGGTCCTGGGCCAATCAGACGCGCCACCAGAGCCTTCTCCCTGTTGACGTTTGTCATAATATTTTAATATTAAATCGCGTTACAACCAGTCATGCGCTCGCATAATCAGACGTTATTCGCAGTGACGTGTGAGCGAGGCGGCAGGAAGGGACCGAAACGAGACGCTTCAAGTATTATGTATTTGCCACCTTTGCGATGAGAGAAATGTAGAATACAAATTACGGGATGCCAAGTAGGTATTCGTATCCCTCTCCTAGAGAACGGGAGAATGAATTCCCGAATAATTCTAAATTAGGGAAACTCCTGTGGAAGGAGGCCGGGGTGGGGCGGGGGTGCGGGTTCTTGCGTGAAATAGGCAGAATAATAAGAGACGGGGAGGCGAAGCAAGACGTGATTCCGAAGTTCTTCCGGGCCCAGAGGACCGAGGATATTGACGCCTTGACAGTAAAAGGCCTTGCAATATTGAGAGACGAATTAACAATTCCGCGCTCGTTCGGGCTCGTTCGCTGCTCGTTCGGACTTTCTGAAGGGAGTGCTGGAACGAACTGACCAGTCAGGAAGGGAGTCGCAGGATATTCGTAAAATGGCTAGGACCGTTTGGACGTCTCTGTCCAGCTCTGCTGCCCTTCTGTCCTTCGACTCCGTGAGTCCGTGGCTTCGTCCTCAACCGGATGAGGAGAGAAGGGAGATCCGCCCGTACATTATAGATGGAGGCGTGATTGGTTCGTCAGACTCTCAAAAACTCGGACTCACCAGTCACCTCCACCAGCCTGATGAACCCTTCGTTTTCGAAGCTTTATTTTACCGAGTCCACATCGTACGACCAAAGCCCCGTGTTACAGCCAGTCGACGCTCTATAGAATCTACCCCATGCTACGTTATCAATTAGTGCGATTTACTGAGATCCGGACGTCTCTCTCTCTTGTCCGATCGGCGATTGTCCCTCAATCATTCAACGCTCTACGATTGCACCTCCGACCATCTTTCCAATACAATCGATTCTCAGTCGTTCCATTCGTTACGTGCGCTAGTGAGCACGATGCCAACGCCATAGGCTATTATAGCTTCGCTAGCCAATGCGGCGGCGGCGGCAACCTTTCGCGAGGAAACAACGTCACTCGGAAAGAGCCCCTGTGTGTATAAGAATTAACGCGCAAAGCTATAGGAAGGACGTCGCGTCGCGTCTGGCTCCACGAGACAGAGAAGGTATCAAAGGTACAACTGCCTCTGCACCCGTAGCGACGCTCGACGCTCGACGCTCGACGCTCCGAGTGAGGGATGAGGAGGCCGACTGTTAGTCGCTAGGTATGCACTCACTACCCTCGGCAAGAGGGTAGAGCACACCAGGAGAATAGAGGGTGCATCGGAGAGAGTAATTTCGGGCATTCTGCGGGTTTGCTTACACCATTACACAGCCCACGCCACACTCCCCCCTTGACTCCCCCCTTGACTCCCTCCTTCGCTTCGACGGTTACGCGAACACGAATTCGCATATCCGTCGCCTCCAGCATCCCCGCTAATACCTGCAGTACCCTGCCAGTCTGCTGCTCCCGAAGCGCTCTTCGCCGAACACACTAAGCCTACAGCAACTGTACGAGTCGAGCAAAGAAGTGTGCGGAGCTCGTCCTTTGGCATCAGCCGAGCACACTGGAATTCTAAACTGGCCGTTATTTCACCTTCAGAAGTGGAATAAAGAATGTATCCAGTGGCCGGGAAATTATTCAGGGGTGGTTCTTCGGCAGCCCCTTGAGTCGAAAGAGACGTAGCAGGACGTCCGAGGGTGGAGCGGGGGCAGAAGGCGAACGAAGGGAAAAGAATGAGAGGAAGAGTCGATCCGACTCAGCTGGCTACGAGTCGTTAATGAAAATCCAACAACAGAAAAATTACGTTCACTTGGTGGTTAACGTCGCTCCGGGATAACCATAGTATAATCAGCAGCGCCCATGTACCCCGAGAACCTTCTGCGCCTCTCTCTCTCTCTCTCACTCATTCACTCGGCTGCTCCGAGAAAAGTGTGCCGCGTTTTGCTACGGTCAGCTCTTTCTTACTCACAGGCTGCATCAGCTCTACCCGACTCGCGCTATTCTCTTCTTTCTGCGTTCCGCGTGCTCCTTGTTATTATTCATTTAGCGCTCCGGAGCTTGCTCCAACAGCCAAAATAACAAGGTGCCAGGACGTCAGGGACGAGGAACCGTAAGAAACTGTACGGCGGCAACGCGGTGTCGTAATCTCCGCGCGGTTTCCGACGAGCGCGGAAAACTCGGCACGTTTTACTTTGGTTCCGGGTTAATAATTCAGTATCAATTAGTGGTCCTTTGAATTATAAAGAGACCCTTCTTCTGAACCTGACGCTTTCCGGTCGGCGAATCACCAAGATTTTTTCACTTTGTTTAAGAAATACACTCTTCAGGAATCTTTAGGAGAAATGGATGGTAGAGAACTAGAAAGGAAAGAAAAAGTCAAGAAAAGAACGGAGCATAGATCGAAAAAGCAGTTCGGCAAGAGCGATTTGTGAGGATTCCTGTACGCGAGGGGAAGATTCCCCAGTGAGGATTGTGTTTAAAGAAAAACGTACAGTTGCCTCGATAGTCGTAAGGTAGAAGGTGAAAGCTAGTCAGGCGCAGGCACGTGGACAGGAGGGTACGGCGTGAGGGAGGGAAGGTCCATTAGAGGTCCCTAAATCCCCCGACGTACACGCCCACATTGAGATACACGGTCCTGCGGGGGGTAGGATCATGACCAAGCATACGAGAGCTCGC